GCATGGAATACCTGGGTCCATTATGTTTGGTCCAAATAAGGTCTTTCTGAGTCACTTCTGGAGATAGTTATTCAAGATGTAAGGACTATCCTGAAGACGAGTATAGCTTACCACCCTAGATGGATGGTCAGACGGAGTTGGTGAATCACAATGTGGAGACTTATCTTCATTACTTTGTATAAGATACACCAAAGATATGGGCTAAATATTTAACCTGGGCGGAATATTGGTATAACACTTCATATCATACATCAGTCCAGACAATGCCATTTAAAATTCTATATGCGAGGGATCCACCTCATCTGATATATTATGGGCATGACAACACACCAATATCATCAATGGAGCAGTACTTGGGAGAAAAAGATCAGATTTTGGCAGAATTGAATGAACATCTACATATAGCATAACAAATCAAGAAGAAGCAGGCGGGTGGACACAGGAGAGATGTGCAATTTAAGGTTGTGGACATAATTTATTTGAAGATCCAAACTTACAGATAGAGGACTTTGGCTCGGCGAAGGAATGAGCTCTCCCCCCGCTACTTTGGGCCCTACGAGGTAGTGGAGCGCATTAGCTCAATAGCATATCGCCTACGATTGCCACTAACCTCAGCCATCCATCATGTATTTCATGTATCGCAACTGAGATGAGCCATTAAAAACCACACACCCTCGCCTGCACCCACACTTTTAGAGGATATGGAGGTGATATAAAACCATTGGAGAAGAAAGGGATGCGCCAAGGAGACAATGGAATCAAGGAGGTGCTGATCAAGTGGAAGGATTTACCATAATATAAAGCGATATGGGAGCCCTAAAACTATTCATAAGCAATTTCCCTTTTTCCACCTTAAAGATAAACTGACTTTTTGGTAGGGGAATCTTGATGCAACTAGCAACAGCAATCCAACTACCCAGGTGAGGCCTAGGACCTCATTTATCACAAGTGGGTCCAGGACCTCTTTCATAACTTGTAGCAAAATAGGCTTAGGGAGTAAATTCTTTGGGAAAGATGTAACGAGTATTTATTAGGGGATTTGAGTTATTTAAGATGAGAGATTATGGAGGATTAGGATTTTTATGTTATGTTTTGAATTTTTACAGCAACTTTTGTGAGGTGTTTTGGGTTCTTAGTAGCTGTTTTGAATTATGGGACGAACGATTCACCTCTCAAACAATAAATCAACATGTATCTTGTCTTGTTTTGCTTAAAAATTAATAAAAACAACTCTGTGTTATTTTTTAATCTATTTGAAGTTACTATTTTTTATATTGTTATGTGTTATTTTGATCATCAAGTCCTATCACAAATGTAGTCAACGAAGTTACTCCATGAAATTAAAATTAGAATAGGAATTTAACATATAAGTTCCCTTATAGAAAAATTAATGAAATTAATAAATATTATGATCCATAGTAAGATAAATATTCTATGAATTCAGAAAATTAAATGGGTTCAGAAAATTAAATGGGTTGGAGACAAGACTAAGCAGATTGATAGTTTAGAATTTAAACTATGATGTTCTAGTAGGAGTCAAACTAGAAATTATGTAGGTATAATTATAGATAATAGTTTGAAGGATAATGCTATAAAAATTAATAGAATTATAATTTTAAAGATTATTGTTGATGCTAAAATTATTAATAATATAAGTATTTATGCTCCTTAAGTATGTTTGGATATGTGTTTAACATTAAAATTTTGAAATGATTTAGAAGAATTAATATAAAATATACCTCTCGAAGAAAGAGTTTTTATTGAGGCAGATTTAAATATACATGTTGGCAAAAAGGTATATGATTTTAAAAGCATTTATGATGATTATGACTTTGAAGCAACTAATGAAGGTGATAAGATCATATTAGTTTTTTTTAGGTTATGATTTTGTAATTGCTAATATCATATTTAAGAAAAAAAATAAGCATCTCATCCCTTATAAAAAATGAATAGAGTAAAACTCAAATTAACTATTTAAAAAAAAAAAGATCGTTTAGATTGTAAAGTTATCATGAGTAAAAGTTTATGTACCAAACATTGTTGATTAGTTTTAGACTTTAAGATAAAGAGCAGAAAATAAAAAATAAAGTAAATCATTGTTTTATGATTAGATAGGACATTTAAAGAATATTAATAAAAATATTTTTAAGAGTAAGATTCTAGATCATAAGATTTTGTCTATGCATGAGAAAACTAATGTTATGTTATAAAAAATAGCTAGTGATATTAAAAATGTTTCAAAAGATGTGCTTAGAGTATCAAAAAAAAAAGATCATAATAATAATAAAAAAGTTGCTAGCGGAATCAACATGTGCAAGAAAAGATTAAAAAAAATAAGAATATTTATTATAAAAATTGAATTAGCTGCAAAAAATATAATAATTGAAAAAGACATAAAAAAGCACGTAAGGTGTCTAAGAAAGCAATTTACAATGCAAAGATTTTAGCTTTTAAATATTTCTATAATATATTAAATATTAAGGACGATGATATATATATATATATATATATATATATATATAGTTAGCTAAATAAAGAGATAGTAATAAATATTACTTCAAGTAAAATGTATTAAAGATGAAGATCAAAAAGTGATTTTATTAGAAGAGGATATTCAATAAAAGTATAAGATATATTTTACTAAACTTTTCAATGAAGATTATCAAAATGACTTTAGTGATCTTAGCACCCTAAATGAAAAATAAAATTTATTTTTATCAGCGTATTAGTAAAACCGAAATTAAAGAGATTTTAAAGAAAATGAAGTGTGAAAAAGCTGTTGAACTTAATGATATTCTAATAGAGTTGTGAAAATGGTTAGGAGATGACAGAATTTATTGGCTTACTAAACTTTTTAATATTTTTTTTATGACAAAAAATGACAGATGAGTGGAGAATGAGTGTGTTGATTCCTATTTTTAAGAATAAAGATTATGCACATCATTGTGCGAATTATAGAGGAATTAAGTTAATGTGTTATACTTTAAAACTATGAGAGAGAATTATGAAGCATAGGTTGCGGCATAACACTTATATTTCTCAAAATCAATTTAGATTCATGCCAGCTAGGTCTACTATGGAAGCTATACATCTATTGAGAGGTTTGATGGAGAAGTATAAATAGAATAAGGATGATCTATGTATGATTTTTATTGATTTAGACAAAGCGTATGATAAAGTTTCAATATAAATTTTATGAAGAGTTCTACATAAAAAAATGGTTAATAATGCTTATATTCAAGTCATTAAGGAGATATGTATGCATGAGTTGTTACTTGTGTTCAAACACAAGGTGGTTTGACCAAATATTTTCCTATTTCAGTTGGATTACATCAAGGATCAACCTTAAGCCCATATATTTTGCATTAGTCATGGATTTTATATTCTCATTTGCAAGAGGTTATAATCTCATGTATGCTTTTTGCTGATGATATTCTCCTTGTTAATAAGACTAAAAAGGGTGTTGAAGGTAAACTTGAATTATGGAGGTCAACCTTAGAGTCTAAAGGCTTTCATTTGTGTAGATCAAAAATTGAATATATAGAATATAATTTTAATAATAATAGATCTAGTTGAGGGATTGTGACTTTGGGTTAGGGGTATCAAAATGAGTCCGCGGGTCAAGTTCGAGTCAAATCCGAATTGACTTGAGTCTAAACGGGTTGACCCTAACCCAACCTATTTTCGCAAATGGGCTAGGAATCCAACCTGGACCCGAAACGCGCAGGTTACGGGTTGACACGACCCGACCCGCGAACCCGGGGACACGCTTACGAACTAAGGTTGTCAGAGGAGCTTTGAAGGCGGAGTTTAGTGTGTGCAAGTGCCTCGGCCTGGCAGACGACGGAGGAAGGACGACCGGCCAGACAAGCTGGCGCCTTAGCCTGTAAAACGGCGGAGTAAAGACGGCGGAAAGTTGGAACCCACGGAACGGGGAGCTTTGAAGGTCAGACAAGCTGCCGCAGTGCCGCCTCGATCCGACAGACAACAAAAGTTGAAGGCCCAGAAGGCCACACAAGTTGTGGCAGAGAACGGACGCGGCAAGCAATCTGAAGTCCCGAAGCTTCAGATGGTGGAGGATGGCTTGCAAACAGGCCAATCCACAGAAAGTCAAAATCTAGGGTTTCTAAATGGGCCAACTGGGTAAATTTTGGGTTGTTGGGTCAACACGAACCCGACTGTATGTCAAATGGGTTGACCCAACCTGTATGTCAAATGGGTTGATCCTAACCTGGAATTTTTCAGGTTGGGTCCGAATCGGATTTCGGGTCGTGTCAAATATGGACACCCCTACTTTGGGTGATCAAGTCATTAATAAGAGTACACATTTTAGATATCTTGGATCTATTGTTCAGAGTGATAGTGAAATAAATTGGGATATTATTAGTAGAATTCAAGTTGGATGGTTGAAGTGGAGGAATGCACCAGGTTTGTGTGATAGAAAAGTCCCTCTCAAACTCAAGGGAAAATTATATAAGATAGTAGTGAGACCTGCAATGCTTTATGGTACAGCAATGTTGGCCATTAAAAGATAAGCACAATATTAAATTGAGTGTCTCAGAGATGAGGATGCTCAGGTGGATGAATGACTTTACTCTTAGAGACATGATGCAAAATGAGCATATACATGAAAACGTTGGAGTAGCACCAATAGAACATAAGATTAGTGAAAGTCACCTTAGAAGATTTGGTCACATAAAATGGCGGCCTTCCGATGACCCGATTAGGAAAATAGATGCATTAGATTTGACTTATGTTAAGAAAGACAGAGGTAGACCTAAAAGACTTAGTTAGAAAATATTAAAAATGTCCTTTCTTTATTAGATTTAGATGAAAATTTGACTCTTAACAATATACGAAAAAGGATTCATATAGCCGACCCCACAGTGGGATAAAGGCTTGATGTTGTTGTTGTATAAAAAGATCCTTTAAAACATGCACAATCTAAACAATTAATATAGCATAATTATAAAGTAAATCCAAAGAAGGGTGAAGCTTACCATGTTTTACAAATCAAAATTAGATTTCTTTCCGGTAATGATGCGAGATATTTGAAGACCCCTGCTGAATGCTTCATTGAAGAGAATCCTTGTCTGCATTGCCTGGAAGCCAGGTAACCACGACAATAGTGCAACGGGAGCCATAACAATGACTCCAAACATCATATCATACAGCCGAGCCACAGCAACAACAGTATCCCAGACCACAGTGGTCTTAATGAGCGGTTTCATCACTTGAGCTATCAAAATCATGCCCCAACCAGTTGGAATTAATGCTAAAAGACTAGTAAAAATATCAACGATACCAAACTCGGTGAACTTGAGAAATATAACAATCACCAAAATAGCAAGAGTGATGATCAAAGCTTGGACGGTCCTATAATAGACATGCTCCTTTGCTGCATATTTATCTCGAGCATAGCCCATTATCAAGAAAACTCCAAAAGCAACTAGCACATAGATCCATGAGAGAAAGTAAACAATAATGCTTTTGCTATTATTGGCAATATTAAGCTGAAAGACGATGCCATACTGGAAAAAAAAGAACCGTAGATCAAGAACTATCTCCAATAATTTTCCCCAAAGTCCAGTTGTGCGCAAATGATCTTGTTCTTCCTCCCACCACATTTCCCAACTTTGCTCCGATTTCGCAAATATCCCACCACGGTACCATATCCAATTCACAAAATCATCGAAGTCATCAACAGTCTTCAACCAGTCAAAACCAGAAGGGTTGAAAGCAAAAGGAGCCATTATCCATGACACCACCAGAAACCATGAAGAGATTGTCATCACAATGTAAACAATAGTGTTCTTCGCAATGGCACTATATGATGCATACAATGTTAGCACAACACCAAGCTCTATAGCCTTAATAAAATGGCTCCGTGCATAAAGCCTGTAGTTCTCACAAAAACTCTTGTGCTGCACAACAAAGCCGCGCCCAGTTGCTCTATATTTTGCACCTCCGTGAAGGATTGTCCGCCCAAAATAATGAGTTTTAGTTCCCATGGAGAAGGTGTAAAAAACAGATGCAAGCTGAATCTGCATGGTCAGAAAATCCCAAACCGCCCCAAGGAATCCATGCTCAAGTGAGTTTTCTACAATCATTGGCAAGGCTGTGAAAATACCCAGCTGAATAATGAACTGCTGATTCAGAACTGTACCAAGTGCAGTATTGCTTGTCGAGTCGGCGCTGTTCTTTATGGCAGCCTCAAGCCCACTAAGAGCCAGGTAAAGGCGTCCCCATACAAAAGAATATACGGTTAGGACGACCAACATGGTATTGAAGTAAAATCCAACGGTCGTGTAATAAAAGGAAAGCATCCTAAAAAAGTCCAACCTATGGCCAAGTCTATAGACATCCCTGCTTAAAGCCTGCTCTCCATTGCCACTAGCGACCTTAGCCTCGAACATCGAAATCTGATTCAGGCCAACATCGCGTCCCTTGCCAACCTGGATATACTCATGATGAGTTACATTACCACCTCGCAATGTGCAGTTAAAGCCTGCAAATATATCCTCACTGATGTTGATGACTCTGGAAGCCTTGCTAATACCGCCACGACCCAAAAACCAGAGCCGATCAAAAACATCTGGGTGTCCATAGTGCATCCTCACTTTCAGAGGATTTGCTAGGACCCGCTGTCCAAGGGTGACGAAGCTAGTTTCCTGTGCAGACATGAACCAAGCAAGTGAAGAGACAGAACCAGTAAAAACATGCTCCCGGACACCTAAAATGGTTGGCTTTCTTGAACCATAGTTATGTGTGTATTCTTCCAACAAATTTCTCATCTTGAGAGCCTCTTCAAAGTAATTGTCTTGGTTCATATCTATAGTCTGCACTGCATCACCTCTTGTGAAAATGAGGGCATGGTTCTGGTTCTCTGGCTTGCCCTCACCAAGCTTCAATGGTCCAGGCAACTTGACCCGGTAGATCTCTACCTCTTTCTGCAACTGCTGGTCATATTTAACAAGAACAGAATAATATTCCACTTCCTCCCTCCCTGTGTAAACTTCATCAACATAGGCCACCCTGAGTGCTTCATTATTCTTCATAAGATACAAAATTTCTTCAGCATGAGGGTCTTTCTTTGCCTTCTGCTGTCCATATATCTGACAGGCAACAACGTAAGTATACTTCATGAGGGCTGTTCCATACTCATGGCCTTTGAATAATAGACTCACACCACTGCTTTCTCTGCTGAGATTCCGTGCTGACACAGACCTAAAAGAATCCCCTAATCCATCTGCAACAGTCTCCCGAGAAGAACCAAGTAAAGAAAGTTCTCGTGATCCTTCCCTAATGTCAATCTCAGAAGCAGAATCAAGAAAAGTAAGCATCTTGAGAGCCTTGTAGTAGTACATCATTCCCCTGACTGTGCGACTGAGAGTCTGGCCCCTGTTAGAGGCCCAAAGACGAAGATCCCTCAACTTCTCACCCCATATGTCAGACTCATACACCATTCCTTCTCCTCTCATTCGTTCTAAAAAGTTAGCCCATTCATCATCATAAATCTTTTGCAGATAAAATAAGATCGAGATGCCATCTTCATTCTCTGTGCGAAGCTGCTCCTTACTGAACAAGACATCCTCATTATAATATGGGGTAAGAACACTAAAGGCAAACATTTTCTCTACTTGGGGAGCCCGTGGCATGTTCATGAACAAGGAGTTGCTGAAGAAGGAAATTCGGCGCCGAGCCTCTAGGTTCTTGGGCACATCATTCATGGAATCCCTGGAAGTAAGAATAGTGTGCAACCGTCTCACCTGCCTGTAGAAATTTGTGTCTTCTGCGACAGGCAATTCAATAGCATTCTCAAAAAGAAGACCAGATGCATTTGGTCTCGTGGGCACCAGTCCTGCTTGCTTTAGCTGCTCCATGTTCCTCTTAGTAGTAGGAAAATCACGGATGGCAACATCATATAAAGTCTGTAATGTATTTACTATTTTGTTTAGATCCTTATTTGGTTTGAGCAGTTGATCGAGGAGGGTGATCAGCTTGGTGTGAATAACTGGCAACACTGCCAATTTATACTCTGCAGTCAATTTCTCCACGCCGATGGCATCATCAAACCCAAAGAACAGGTGTGAAATGATTTTGTGCTCCTCAGTTTCCTCTTTGATGATCTCAAGCAGCAGGTGTTTGACGCTATCATAAGCCTCCACAACCGCACATCGCCGGTACTCATTTTTGCATATCTTTCTCCAATGCCCACGGTCCGACGCTACCAGTTCCTTCGCCTGGTTAAGAGCCAGAAGAAGCTCATTGCAGAGTAACAGGCAAGGCCACCGAATCACCCTGATGTTCCAAGAATTTGCGGGCAGCTCAAGAAGTTCCAACTCTCTGTCACTGATGATATCCTCCTCCCTGAACGTAGCCATAATCTCATTCCATATTAACGCAAACCTGGTTGCTTCAACCTGGTTTGATTCAATCTTCTTGTAAGGCCTCCCCAACCCATATCGGAGCTTGAGGCGTAAAACCGCATCTTTGAACTTGCTCCTTAGTGTACCCCTCTCATGAAAGAGTTGCTCCTCAGGCATCAGATTGAACTGCATCGCACTTGCAAAGAACTGAAACCTCAGCCTTAGCTGCTGAACATTCCGGATTTCGCCAATGTGTGAGAACAGCCCCACCAGAGCTCCAACAAGGGATGAAAAAATTGAATACCAGATTGAAATATCCATAAGATATACCAGTACAACCGGGAGCCACAAGAGAAAAACGGCAAACCTGTTGGTCCGACTAAAGAGCTCATGCCAATGATAGTCTACAACATGAAGCTTGTAAATGGATTTGCTTGGAGAGACCATTGGCTTGATCTGAAGGAAGTAGCTGAAGGTGAACTTCACGGCTAGAAGAAGAACCCAAAACAGGGCGTATTTCACGTTGTCAACAAGCCCTTCTCTCAGGCCACGACCAACAAAAGTGCGGCTTTGAAACCACCAAGTAAGCACATAAAAGATCTTCCAGTTTGTCTTCTCAAGGAAGTTCCTTATCCAGGGCAGTATGAAGAGAAGAAGGGCCATCACCTCCGGCAGCACAAACACTCCGGCGGCCTCCAAGTAGTTCACCAGCCTCTGGTTGGCTGCCGCAGACCATCTGCGGTCTCTGTTTTTCTGGTCCCAAGCCCTGGCGTACAGAATGCCAAACACCACAGTCCAAGCAGCAGCCACAACGCTCTTGAGCACCATCCTCACTCCTAGCCACATAGTCTCCCTGCGCACAAGGCTGTATTGCGTCCCGGCATCCAAAATGGATTGGAAGAAGCGAAGAACAGCCCAAGTGATAAATATAGTTAGAGTCCTGACCTGGACGTCACGGCTCTGCAGATTTTGCCAAGGATAGGTTTTGCCTTCCCAGGCAACGATGATGGCCGCCTGGAGATAGAGGATTAGCATTACCCAGAGACGGTCGAAACTGCGGAAGAGGTTCCAGAATGAGCGCTGCTCGACGAAGCCAGTCTTTCGAACTCGGTTGCGATCAGGAGGAATGGCAAAGAAGTTCTTGGAGAGTTCGAGAGGCCATTTAAGGCGCTCAAAGCAATGGCGAGACCAGAAGTACTCGTTGATGTCATCATAGTTGCGCCAGGCGGAGTGGGGTGCGGTGCCATTGCGGCTGGAGTCAACCTCGGCTTTAATGGTGGCGTAGATTGGCTTGACTACATGGTTGAGGAAGGCCTCCTCACCGGTAATTTTCGGGGTGGAGGGGCGACCAGTGGCTTCATCGATGTAATCCTCAAGGATGCGGTTGAGGTCCATGGCCATGTGGTGGAAGATGTAGGAGATGCATTCAGGGACGAAGCGGAGGTTAGCAGCTTCGCCCCAGATGAGGAGGTAAAGGGCAGTGTAGAGGAGGTCGCGGCGAGAGTAGTCGGAAGCAGCTGTGGCGGAGCGGCGTCTGTCTGAGATCCAGACGTTAGGTTTCCGACCAAGGTAGGAGCACCACGCGGTATAGTTTTTGAGAAGCTTGCGGCGGAGACGTCGAGCGACGTTGGGTTCAAGGGCATCGATGTTGTCCGGTGGCGGCTGGAGGCGCATCTGCGCGTTAGCGAGGAGGAGAACTAGGTGCTCGCGCTGGTTGCGGACGTTGTCGGGCTGGAAACCGAAAAAGAAGCCAAGCCAGTCAAGGAGGTCGTATCCTTCCTGCCACCGGATGAACTGTGGCTTGCGAAGGTCACCAACGGTGCGGAGGGCGGCCATGGCGGCACGCACCTCAGGGAACCGAAGCGCTGGATGCTCCGCGAGCAGATTGTGGATGGGTATTATATTATAGGCTTCCTCCCCCTCCGCTGCGCCGTATCCCCTAGCACCATATCCTCTGCCCCCAGCCCCGCCGGCCCCAGCCGGGCGAGTCGTGCGCTGCCGGAGGCTCATGCGGGCATCAGATCTGGCACCAGTTCTTCCCTTTTCCTGTTTTGTAATCAGAAAAATGGAATTTTGGGAATGAGTCTTCTTAGGGTTTGTCCTCTTTGATTCTTTCTCTGTATGCTATTTGACAACGACGACCATGGACGAGTTTGGTGCGAGCGTTGAGACTTGCTTCAGAGGCGGGGAGGATGGACACTGGTTGGCATGAGGTTTGACCAGTTATGCATACTAAACCTAATTTAATTAATAAATTACCGCAAATGAATGACGGAGGAAGATAAAGGGGAACTTCGGAGCCTCTTCAAAAGTCTCAATTGAAAATTTGAAACTGAAAAAATCTACAGAAGAACAGTCCGATTGAAGTTTGATCTACTTTAAAAAAAAATTAAATTTATTTTCATATACAGATAAATAATTAATTATTTATTCAAATTATAATATCGTCTGAAAATTTAAAAAAAAAAATCATACCGGCTACAATATTTTGTCTTATTGTCTTCAAATAAATTAAAAAAATATTCTGCACCGTGTTAAACTAACCAATTAAGGAATTAAAAGCCGCGTTTATTTAATCGGCCCGCACACGGCGGGGATCTGAGATAGCAGATTTGCCATTATTGATCTCTATTTAATTTTGAAAACCAACAGAATAATCTCAAAACAAAAATAAATTAAAGAAAAAAACAGGATTCGCTTAAAAGCAAAGCATACGGGTTACAGGCACCCATCCCAGAGAACTGATAAGATTTGAAGCGTCGAGATTCAAGAAGAAGGGAACCGTTAACTCGGGTGACGGAAAGAAAAGCGACGCCGGTGGAACGGCGAAGCAAATGGACGTCACCGGCCAGCCACTAGCATGTAGCAGTCAGCTCGGCGAGTCTTCAACCCTAAGCTTTTCAAACGAATTTTCCCCCACAAGAAAAGACCAAAATCATCAAAACCGAAGCAGAAACAGAAAAAGGGGGGGAATCTCCAAAACTGTGACAAAAGCAGTAGAAATGGAGTGGGAAGAGAGTGAGAGATAGGAATACCTGAGAAGAGGAATCAAATTCCCAAAACCGGCAAGGTGGATAGAAAGTAGCGAATCTTCGGCTACGGAACCAGAATGCGCCGCGGAACTGAGACGAGGAGGAGAAGAAGATGATGAAGTACGGGATTGAAACCCTAGGTTTTTTTGCAGTACTGGATTGAATTAGGTTTTGCTAGAAAACGGAGAATGGAATCTGGATTTATTTCTCCTGGTTTTGTTCTGATTGAGATGCCCCTTGAAATTTCCAATACGGGAGTGGACGGCCAGGATGAGTTGATGATAGGATCCCGTATCGGGTTGATTCCGTGTTCTGTTCGTATGTCCTAATGGGTGAGTCGAACTGACCCGAATACGGTAGTAGTGTTATGGGTTAACTCTTAAAGGACCGTATACCTATCTATATGGATCTCTGCTATTGTATTACGTGCTTTCACTAAAGTGGCTATTTGGTTGGCTGCCGGATCCTACCATTTTAGGGAAAATTATTAAGTCCGGACATCGGATTTAGAAATAGGTCCTAATATCCAATGAAAATTTGTCGCATGGACTATGTTTTGACTTTGCGCTTTGACTGTGCTTTGACTACGCTTTAACTGTACTTTGAATATGCTTTGACTGCGCTTTATCTGTGCTTTTGACGCGTTTGACTTAAAATTACGCGGACACGTGTACATTCCACATGTCAATTTTTTTGTGGATGTCTGGATGTATCTATACGTCTGGGGTCCAGACCAAATAATTTCCCCCATTTTAGGTATTCATCCATGCAAACCATGGGATTTTCTTCATGATTAATATATGATTAAGCATGGCAGTGTAAATCAAAGAGCAATGAACAATTTGACTTAAATTTATATTATTTATCTTATTATGTATCGAATTTCTGATAAATTTTGTGTGATTTGCTAAGAATTATGTTGAATTCTAAATCCTGAATGTGAAAAGTATAGTGTTACATTAGATAGTCAACAAACACTTTCCTAACAATTATGACTTTTAATAAGGTATAATAGAGAAAAAAGATTCATGTACCATGTAAAAATCCAAAATGTCATAAATAAAACTTAATTTTAAATCTAAAAATTTTGAACTGGAGCGTCGAGAAAGCGTAACCGCGGCACTGAGCTCTCTAGAATTTTGAAAATAAATTTGGAACGGTGTTATAAACCATATTTTGACCTGGAGAAATAAATATTATTAAGAGTCATTATAAATCCAAATCACAAACCGTATTCGTCATAACATAGGTTTATAATTTCATTAAATAAAATTGTAGTTATTACATTTTTATGATTATATGTGATACGGCATCACAAAATTATCTTGATCCGGCACGAATCTCGATGCAAAAAGCTAGTTGGAAACTTCAAAAATTAAAATCAAGAGCATTCGAACTCCGATTTCAATGAGCTTATAGTCAAACTGAGCCTCTTGGAAATACAAACCCAACGACACCAAATTCGACCCAATCCGAGCCCAAATGGGTCCGAATCAAGGATCTGAAGCGCTGTTGGAAGGTTCAAACTGCAATTTGAGTTACCAAACAGTCTCCGATTTTAACGAGCTTATACTCAAATCAAGCGGCTCGACGAGGCAAATTTAACGAGCCCAAGATCACTGAATTCCGACATCATTAAGGCCTTCAAATGCCCAACGAATGGTGCATGATCAAAGGATTCGATATCGGCCGTCCATTCAAAACACTCCCAATTCGCCCTTGATCTCACGCCTATTTACGGGCTATGCCACTCCAGAAAAATTATAAATAGAGCTCTCATTCTACACCAAAGGGACTGAAGTGAAGAGAGAGAAGAAGAAGGGAAGAAGAAGAGAAGAAGAAGGAGAAGGAAGAAGCTCCTCCTCGACCACCGCCGGAGCTCTTCCTGCCGCCTGAAGACGCCGGAACTCTGTCGGATTTTCGAGAAACGCCAGGAATTTGCAGAACTTTGTAACTTTGTGAGAAGTTAATACTAAATTGATCGTCTTGAGTTGTAAGACGGGTCAACCTTTGTACTTCAAACAAATTCTAGTGAAACTTTACAACTAAGCAAGGCCCCGTGGTTTTTCCCTCTTTTGGGTTTTCCACGTAAAAACCCTGGTGTTCACTTCTCTGCTTGTGTGCTGAATACTCATACAACGCTAGGGCGTAAATTTCCAAGCTCTACCGCCGTGTATATTCTAGCACGCAACAATATGGGATAGTGATTTTACTTTTTTTTATATAAGCATATTATTAATACAAGCATTATAAATGAATATGAGCATGTAATTTACTAATAGCTAACTGATATTACTTTTGATAATAAAATATTTTGAAGAAAATAAAGACCAATTATTTATAAATATTGGTTAAACACTGACTGATATGTACATGATGATGGATAGAAAAGCTTTCCTTTAAATACTATGATTTTATGTTATTCTCTACAAATTCAAGTGATTATTAACTAGTAGTTATAAGGAGATTATTTTTTTACCAATAGGCAAAAAGTGACTACTCTTTTACGTACCCAATGATTACTGATTTATTTATTACTAAAAAAAATAACGTATAAGCCAAAACTATTTACTTATTTAATGCAATTATTGGGATACATTCATTATACTAATTTACTATCACTATCACTATATTGATTTATTATTACTAAATCCTTTTACTATTACTACAACATATTTACTGATATTGCTGCTGATTCACTATTAATATTACTTCTATTGATATATTATTTACTATTTTTGAGTATGTGATATAAAACCCCTTAAGTAAAAAGAAAATAAACTCTTAAATATCGAGTTGCTTTTTAGTGTAATAGTTAAAATTCCATTAAGAAACTCCATAGTTAAGTGTGCTTATTTTGAAGAAATCCCGAGATGATTAACTTATTAGAAAGTTACACCAACAGGATAAAACTATGAGGCCCTTAGGCTAAAGAGAACATTCTCTTAATAGTTAACAGTTTGACTGTTACAAATGGTATCAGAGAAATGTACCGGCCAAAAGATGGGAACTAAGTGTCATACAAGAAAAAGTGACATTTCAGGGGAGCCACCTCTTGAACCCTTTATGGGAAAAAGTGCTACGTGATAGGAGTCATCATTTGAACTTATAGAGGCCACCTATAAAATCATATTTATTTGGTGGATGATTCTGGATAAAGATGCTTACGAAGATGTTAGTTACTTAAATGAGAGAGATTGTGAAATCTCTTAAGTAAAATTTTTTTTTTAAAAAAAAAGATAAACTCTTAAACATCGAGTTGCCCTTCGGTATTATAATTAGAATTTCACTAAGAAACTCCGTAGTTAAGTGTGCTCATCCCGAAAAAATCCTGAAATGGATGACCTTCTGACAAGTTACACCAACATAGCAAAATTGTGAGGCCCTTAGACTAAAGCGGATAATATCTCGATAGTTAAGATTTTAGTTGTGACACATGATTCCTATTACTAAGCATATGATATAGGATTCTGATTTGATACTGATTTAAAATGATTGAATATAATTCATATTTTGATAGTATTGTATTGTTATGGATCCGATGGTCTTCATAGATACTTTGATTTTATTGATTTAAATGATTCCTTTGTTTGTTGGATAACACTACCATGTTGTATGAATGACATTCATATTTAGTTTATGAATTTGTAGATTTTAATAATTCAATATTATAATATTTTATTAGCATCCATATCGTATTAGTATACCAGTTTATAGATTTTTATCGTATATAATACATTTAATTATTTCTGCTTAAATTCATGATCATATTTACTGCTACTATTATATATGAATTGAATGATTACATGTATACTATTTTTTATCATGCTTTGAGTCGAGATATAAGATTTTAGTTATCTGCTAGGCTTTTAACTTTTTTTTTTAAACAAAAAGGAACTTATATTAAAAACTAATGAAAAGAAAATACAACAGTTGGAGAAAAGAAAGCAGAAAGAAAAGACCACCATTAAAAAGATACAGACACAATAAAACAGTAAAATAGAATCCCACAAGAGGGCTCAGTAGACTGCCGAGACTCCCAGCATCCTCGAGAGCGCAAGGACCATCCAAAAAGGGTGAGAATCACCAACGGTTGCCACAAGGTAGCCAACGAGGACACGAGCCCCAGCAACATCATCGCCCCGCAATCTCCAATCCCAGCAAAGAGCAATCCGTAAAACCGCAAAAGACAAACCAAGTTGGAATCGAATTATCTTCTTCTCCCTCCTCTATTCCAAAATTTACCACGAGAAACTAACTTAATAGGAAGATTACGAACCACTTTAACCTCATTACCAGGGTCTGAATATGACTCAGAATCAGATTCATATTCAGACGAATTATCCAACCAATCACCATTGGACCTAACATCCACTCCATCACCCACCTGATACTTCAAATTTTGGGATGCCATTAAGCTTACTGGAACATTAACCAAATTTTGAGAATTGTCCAAAATGCCAGACAATGCAAACAAAAATTTGGCATGCCCTCAAAGATCACCTTTTGAATGTAACCAAATTTTTCCTGCCCCAACCAAATGGACTCAGGGTGGGATTTGGAAATGTCAATTTCAACAAGAATACGAGCTACAGAGGGGCGAGAACCAACCGCAGTAGCATTGTCGGTTTGAATCGGGCGACCAAAGATAGATCCTAAACCTAAAAGTATACGAGGGGAGAAAAGATGAGGACGCAAACCAGGGAAGGATATCCACACAGGGACGATCGGCGATTCCTCCGATAAATCAAGAAAAGGAGACCACTTAATCACTTTCATAAAACAGCCAAACACAAAATACGAACGGTGGGCAAAAATTCGTCCATAATCAAGATCATTCGAGAGTTTGATAAGCACATTCGACTGATCCAAAACAGTCACAGAGACATCACCGGATAGCTTAAGATTGAAAAAAAATTTACGGATTGAATCCAAATCCGGTCGTTTAAGGGGAAACTTTCCAACTAACGCAAAATCAAAAGGTTTAGCAAGATGTAGAAATTCCTCTTCCGAAAACCAAAGAGCAGTTAAACCACGAATCGTAGAGATACGACAATCCGGAAAAACCTTCGAGGAATCGACGCCAGATAATACCTCTTTAAACGATTTCGAGTTCTTACCCTCCAAAAAATCAGGGTCAAGCCTTTTGTTAGCCATGGACAAGCACAATAGCAGGGGATGAAGACACCGGCGGAGACGGAGAGAAAA